GGTGTTTTTTTTTTTTTTTTTTTTTTTTTTGCTGTTGCCACTGGTTCCAGTTTGGAATTGGAACTGGTTCCAGTTTGGAATTGGAACTGGTTCCAGATTTCCATTGGCACTGGTTGGTTCCAGTTTTTCAATGGAAGCAGAAGTGCAGAACTGCGGTGCGTGTACTAAATGGATGGCACTGCTTACTGTTTTCAACGGGACCGACTGGTTCGACTTTCCAAGGGCGCTAGAACTGCAGCACTGCTACTGAATGGCACCGGTCCCAGTTTTCAATTTCAATGGTACCGGTCCCAATTTTCAATTTTCAATGGTACTGGCTCCAGTTCTGATTTTTTTTTTTTTTTTTTTTTTTTTTGCGCAGGGGCCATGCTAATCTTCTCTGTATGGTTCCAATTTTAACGGATGTCCCGAAGGTACTGGCTCCGGTTTTGAATTTTCAATGGTACTAGTTCCAGTTTTTCAAATTTCAATGGTACTGGCTCCGGTTTTCAATTTGAATTCTACTGGTTCGGTTTTTTTTTTTTTTTTTTTTTTTGGATTGCCCCGATGGACTGTTCCCAATTTCAATGGTACTACCGTACTAGCTCCCGATTTTATTTTTTATTTTTTTGTGTGTGTGTTTAGCCAATGGACGCCAGTTTGCAATTTGATTGCTACTGGTTCCAGTTTTCAATGGAAGCAGTTCTGCAGTCGTGGTACTCAATTGTTGCACTGGTTCCCGTTTTCAATTGCACTGCTTCCCATTTTCGATGGCACTCGTCCCACTAATCCATGGCTGGAGATGCATCTTTCTTCAGTCATCCATCGAGGGTGGTTGTAATCATTGGCACTGGTTCTTGTGGTCCGTCCGTCACAATAGCACAGACGCTAGCAAATTAGTAGCAATCAACTGCATCAAATGCAATTGTAACACATGCCTTGCTTTTGGTGAGAGAGATACTAGTTTTCTAGTAAGAAATCACACTACAACAGCACTCGTTCACATAATCAATGGCAGATTTCAATGCGTTCTCCTCCCCTTCCTCCTCCTCCTCCTCCTCCTCCTCCGCCCCTCCTCCGCCTTGGCCTTCTCCTCCTTGTCCTCCTCTTTTCCTCCTTGCTCGTCTTCTTCTCTCCCTTCTACTCCTCCCCCTCCTCTTCGTTTTTGTTGTTGTTGTTGTTTTTCCCCTCCTCCTGCTCCTCCTCGCTGTTGCTGCTGTTGCTCTTGTCCTCGTCGTCCTCCTCTTCTTCCTCCCCTTTCCACCTCCTCCTCCTCCTCCTCCTCCTCCTCCTCCAC